CAATGAACAGGGACGCACACTGAATTTCGCAGCTACTAACTTTGTTGGCTGAGCAGGGACAAAAACAGCCAGGGAAATTATTGAAGCCTGGGAAAAGGGACCATTGTCAGTTAATAGGAGTGCTGAATTACCGCCAGCCTATCAAATACCTAGGAGCCAAGGGTTTGGCAGCACAGGGAGATGACAGCCAATCACCAGCCATCAACACACCAATCAGCCAATAGGAAGGCACTACATAAACACGACTCACAGAACAGCCCCAAACACGTATTTCAGTAGAGAGAAATTCCCTGAAGATGGGCTCCAGCATGGGTCTGAAAGTTCAGAAGAGCTCCAGCATGGGTCCAAAAGCTCAGAAGAATAAATCTGTGGTCTCGTGACTGACCCAAATTCGATCTCGCATCATTATCCTGGGACACGTATATTTGCCTTCATTAGTGAATAAACTTTGGTTTGAATTACGCCTATTGTCTGCCTGGACTGGTATGTCCTTTGCTAACCTATTAATTTTTTTCTTTGTTCTTTTGCTATTTTACTTTCTGTTGCTATATTCCCAGATAGACTTCTCACTGTTCTGTGATTCGAAGTAGTCCTAGAGATGTTCATGAAAGAAGCCGCTATTAGATACTAATAGTTCACAAACTGCTTCTTTTTTTTTTTTTGCCTCCCACGGAGGGCAGCTACTTCAAAGCCCTTGTGGTGGCATTTGGTGGGTGATTAGGAAAGGCACACAATTGTCTTCACTTGTATTTTTGAAAGCATGAATGCCCTTTTTGAGATCACCAGCGCAGCTGACGAGAGCGTGTGTGAACGTGCCCTGCAAATCTCATCATCTTGCAAGGAAATTGAATTTCAGAAAAGGATTATTCAGTTAGGTGGCTTCCTGCTGGAGAATGATTCTGTATTTGAGCAACTTTCATTTCCCAAATTATATCACTGAACACTGACAAACTCTCTTGCATCCTATTGCCTATTTTTTTTTTTGATAACACACCTGGAAGAACTAGAGCAGGGGTCGGTAACCCAGGGCTCTGGAGTCGCATGTGGCTATGTGGCTCTTTCATCCCTCTGCTGCAGCTCCCTATTGTCGGTCAGCTCCACAATTGATAGGGTTTTTGGTAAGGATAGGTTGTGATGACCCAAAGGGGCATGGCACAAAGGCAACACACTCAGATAATCAGTAGGAGTCCCTTCAACTTTGTCCCCAATGTTCTGGTTACCTTCTGGGCTGGAGAAAAACTCTCCCAGGAACAGCCTTGGGCTGCAGAGAATCAAGTCCAAAACATGGTCAACAAAAAATGTAACTATAAGTCCAATCAAGGCAAAATGAGGCAGGGCAGGAGCAAGAATTCCAGATGTGAAGGCATGGCAATAACTCAACACAGTTGGAAAGATGCCAGGAACACAGATAACTACAGTCAACACAAGATAAACTCACGTTTGCTCCCAGCAGCTGCCACACTCAGCATGCATCTCTTTAAAACTCTCTTCCCAGGTATGGCTAATGAAGGGAATCAGGGCCCTTTCCTCCCCCGTAAGCCAGGCAACCCACGTTGCTCCCTTCTCCATTCCTCCCTGCGTGCCCTAGGATGAAGAGGGGCTGGGCCTGGGTCTTCCTCTGAATTCCCACTCCCTTGTTCTACCTCTTCCTTTCTCTGTCCAGCTGGACTTTGCCCTTCCCCAGTTTCCTCCACAGCCAACAGAGCCACACTCTCACTCCCTGTCAGCTGTTCGTCTTCCTCCTCAGATTCAGACTCTGACAGGGGCATGACAGGTAGAGGAAAAAGGACATCACGCTAGGAGGAGACTCTATGGTGGGTGAACCGGACTTCCGGTTGGCTCTAGAATTGAAGGGGGGCACTTCTGGTTAGGACCTTGTGGCTCTTTTGAGTGTTTAAGGTTGTTGACCCCTGCAGTAGAGTAATTGTTTAAAGAGCTTTTGGGTCATGTGTTTCCTTTTTTTAAAGTTCAATTCTGAATATATAACATACACAATGGAGCCCAAAATTTCTGTTGCTAAGTTAACCAGTTGTTAAGTAAGTTTTGGCGCATTTTACAACCTTTGTTGCCACGGGGTTAAGTCAATCACTGCAGTTCTTAAATTAGGAAGTTGTTGTGGTTCGTCGGCAGCCGGTGCAGATGGCAGTGGAATCGGACAGTGGGGAAGAACAGGGACCAGTCCAGGAGTCTGGGGAGGACTCAGACAAGGATCCTGCATCTGGTGAAGAAGTGGGGCCAGGACCATCTGAGAGTGGGGTGCTGACTCCGGAGCCTCCAGAGTCTGGCAGCAGCAAGGCAGAGGAACAAGGGGGAGTCTGTTTCCAGTGTGCGTGTGTACAGAGCTGCCAGAAGGCAAGAGCAGCTAAGACGAAAGGGGTGACTCGGGAGTAAGGCTTGGAGGTGATTGCCCCTCCCATAAAGGTACAAAGGACAGGCAAAGGTAGAGAAACCTTTGCAGGAAGCAAAGTCATTCATTCTGTTCGGATTAAACCCTGAAGCTCTGTGTGGACCTTGTACTTCGGTTGGTTTTTTTATAATTCATTTGGCATTCTAGTTGCTGGCAGCAATTCAAAGGAAAAAAAGGTGAATACTTATCTCGAAGGGACTGTTTGGGACTTATTACCAGCTGGGAATGAAAATAATTCCCAGCATTGAAATAAAACAAGAGTTGTTTGGACTAAGCGTGTGCTTAATTATGGTCTCAGGAAACCTTGGTCAGAACAGAAGTGAGTCTGGCTTGTTAGAAGACTGCAAAATGTGATCACATGACCCTGGGACGCTGCCAGTTTCATAAATCCATGCCAATGGCCAAGTGGCTGCATTTTGATCACGTGATCTTGTGGGGTGTGTGTGTTGCAACAGTTGCAAGTGTGAAAAATGGTCTTAGTTCACTTTCTTCCGGTGCCATTGTAACTTTGGTCACTAAATGAAAACTTGTAAGTTGGGAACTACCTGTAAATACATATTGCTTCTTTCCCATTCCCTTCACTAGCCATCCATCCCTCATCCTCTTTCTCTGAGTTTTCAGAAAAACAGTTTTTGGTTATTCCTTCCAGATTCTGCATCTGCCAAGAAGCTAAGACCTGTGAATTCCATAAGTAAGAATTACAACAGGTTGGTTTTCTGCTTGAGAAACTCTTAAAAAGAGCCACAGTTCAGCCAAGAATATACTCTGGGTGTGGATTGAATGCTTCGTTCAGCAGACCAGCACACTTAACATTTCCAATAAGAAACAATTACAAGTGTTCCTCAACTTATGACCACAATTGAGGCCATCCTTTATGCTGCTAAGTGAGACATCTATTAAATGAGCTTTGCCCCCATTTTATGACCTTTCATGCCACCGTTGTTAAGTGAATCACTGCAGTTGTTAAGTTAGCAACTTGTTAAGTGAATCTGACTTAAACTGGTTGACTTTGCTTGTGAGAAGGTCACAAAAGAGGATCACATTTATGACACTGCGACTGTCATAAATGTGAACCAGTTGCTGAGCCTCTGAATTTTGACCAGGTGACCATGTGGGAGGCTGCAACTGTCGTATGTGTGAAAAGCGGTCATTAGTCACTTTTTTCTGTGCTGCTGTAACTTTGAGCAGTCACCAAATTAACTAAGTCGAGGACTTTTCTTTAAAATTGATGTTTATTTGAGTGAGATGCTGGTACTTTAGGACACAATTTGAAAAACACAATTCTTTTAAGGCATAAGGTCTTCCAGATCGAAACCAGCCATCGAGTCTGCTACATTTTCCAATAACATGCTTCAAAGAGGACAAAGATAATACATAGCAATCTGCTCAGCCATTTTTTTCCTTTAATAAGATTTAGTATCTCTCCCTTTGCTTATCCGGTGGAGTGATATCGACAACACTAAATCTCTTCCTTAAAATCAGATAGGAAGCTCCTTTTCAACTATGGCTAGTCCAGGCTGACCCACAAGGAATATGGCACACCAAAGGCAGGAATGGTTTAGGAAGTGCCTACCTCGGCACAGAGGTTGTTCAAACAGTAAAAAAATAAAGCAGGCTGCCATTCCTGAGTTTACAGGCAACATGCTGTAACTCCAAAGAAAACAATAACAAATGTCAAAATCTCTTAAACCAGAAGATGTTCAGTATAAAAGCAAGAACTGGTGAATCCAATCCCTATCTAAAAGGAGATCTGAAATAGAACTATTCATGAGCATTCTTAAGACTCCAAATTTATCTTCTTCATTTCTAATATAGCATCTGATAGTCTAGGGGTTTATGATAAAATGGAAATCTATGGATCCAATCCCTCAATCTTTGATCCAATCCATTTACAATGGGAAACCTGCTTCTTGACCTATGAATAAAGAACAGGATGAGGCATGCCTCCTTCTCTTCCTTCTTGCATGCTTAATCATAGATTAACCAGGAAACTGGTTTAAAGATGGTTTAAAAACAAAATATCAAATGGACTCTGGGTGGGGCTCTTCAGTCATAATTTTCTGGTGCAGACATCGTTTAAAAACGAGGATTCCTTTCCTTCTGTTCCAAGCTCAGCTGAAGAGGACAAAATGAGCTTGCCAACTAATTCTGGCCTGCAGGAGCTCATTGTGACAGAACTGGGCCACTGTGTATTGGCTTTAGGAAGGGAAGGACAAAATGCAAACATATTAAGTGTTGTTTTCACAGAGGCATTTACATTAAACTACGTTAACCAAAAAATGAAAGAATTAGGAAGATATATAGTCAAGGCATGGAGAAAACACTTACTGAGAAGATAAAGTTGCTAAACCACTAGAGTGGCAATGTTATATATGTTGGTTTTAATCGCTGTTATTATAGCTGCTTAATTCCCTACCGTTATGTGACACATGTATTTAAGTATCCCTCAATCTGTGTAATGAAACACAGCTGGAAAGTATGTATGTCAGATGGAACACATGAATTTAAGCTCTGTTCTTGACTGCACTGACAATAAATATGTACGATCGGGTGCAATTCCCCCCCCCTTTTTTTTTTTATCTGTTAGGCTGAGCTAGGCTGACCTTGCCAATATAAAACCGTCTGTTTTGGGAGACAAATTCTTAGTCGACAAAGAATTGCTATTTGGAGGCTGAAGGACTGCACTATCTGCTGGAATGTTCTGCCCTCCAGTGGCCTCTACCTTGCTAGTCGAAGTCACCATTTCAGCACTGTGGGCAGAAGACAGCTCCTTTTTACAGGGGCAGCTCTGGATGATGTCACACTGCACAGCTGCATTGGATTTTTCTACTGGCTCAGCACACGCATCTGTTTGAGACGAAGCATGGTGCTTCCCCTTATCGTTCATGTCTGACAACGCCAGTCCAGCTCTGTGCAACATATTCTTTCTCGGAGTTATGGCAGGTTGAATATTAGTTTTATTCCAGGGCCTGCCATCGAACTGGCAAACACATTCTGATCCTAAGCAGGGATTGCTGGAAGTCCTTGAAAAAGAGCCTTGAGAATCAGATGATGCTCCTTCATCACACTCCTCTGGTTTAGACTGTTGAAATAAATCGGAGTCAGTGTAATTCTTTGACAGCGGCCGATAAATCACCCTGGTTGTTATGAAACTATGTGGTCGGGCTTAGTTTTTTGGGAGGAAAATAAGGGGGAAAAATTCTGCCTCTTCCTACCAGCATCTATCGGTATTCATCTGGCTAGCGTCCTGTCAGTGTGTGAAAGAGTTGAGGGCTGTTTGGAAACTGAAACAGTATTTGCTGTTGAACAAGAGACAGCAAGGAGCCTGGGCGTGGCTTAGCTCAACTGTTCTGTACTAAAGCTGCTTGGTACTGTGAAACTAAAATTGAAACTGAAACTCCTCTCCTCTGCTTGTGTTTTGCATTTGGAAGAGGTTTCTTTTCAGGTGAGAGGGGGAGTAGAACTCCTTAGCATCAGAGCGTGTTAATAATAACAATATATGAAATATTAATGCTCTGATGGTCATTTCAAAAAATCCTTTCTTAGTGAGACCCTAGAAGCCAAGAGGAACATAGGGCCAAATTTCAAGGCTTTACGGTTCTGGAAATTTTGTGATGATGCGTGAGGGGTATTTCGCTTTTATGTATATAGATAAATAAAAGATAATATAATAGAAGAGAACTGCCTGATGGAAAAGGAACGATAATATAATGGAAGAGAACTGATTCCAGCTTCAAAGCCCTGTCAATAGTTTGTGTTTTCCATTAACCCATTAAGTTAGCTAGAAGTAATTGTCAATGATGCTATTAGCTATTCCACTTTCATATGAATTATAGAGAGGGCTTCTATGCATTAAAATAATTTGCAGGAGGATTCAAAATCTGCAGTGTGCAAGTATTTGAACAACAGACTTGTGTAACTTCAAGGAAACTTTGTCCTTACCTCGTCAGAGGAAGAACTGGTATGTCTATCTGCTTGCTCTGAATAGGTGGGTGACTGGCTGCTTAACTGGGAATCATCACCTGAAAAACAACAACAAAATTGTTTAGTTTGTTTTGAGAAACTCTTAAACAGTAACACAGGTAGTCCTTGACTTAGAACCACAACTGAGTCCAAAACGTCCATAGCTAAGCAAGGCAGTTGTGTCATTCCCCATTTTGTGACCTTTTTACCACTGCGGTTAAGAAATCACTACAGTTGTTAAGTGAATCATGGAGTCATTGAGTGAATCAGGCTTCCTCCATTGACTTTGCTTGTCAGAAGCTCCCTAGGAAGGTTGCAAAGGATAATCCCAGACGGAATGGGCCAACTTGCTGCGGCCAACTCTCCAGAGCCAACTCTCCAGAGCCAACTCTCCAGAGCCAACTCCCTGCAGGATAGCTTGCCATGGCCAAGTGACTGCGGAACAATTCAACAATCCTATCTTTAATTATTTAAAATAAATAAATACAATTATTTTAATTTTGGCCATTCACATTTCATTCTGTCCCTCCTTTTGCATCCTTTAATGATTCTATTCCACCATTTCTTTAATATTAAAGAAAAACTTGTCCTGTGGTGAGTTGGCTGTGGCGAACTGACCATGGCGAATTGTCATAAATCCATTCCAGGATCACAGGATGCTGCAACCATTGTACATATATGGTTATACACCATATATGTACAATGGTTGCAGCATCCTGTGATCCTGGAATGGGTTTATGACAATTATAAACCCATTATACAAGCACCCAAAGTCTGATCACGTGACCATGGGGATGCTGCAACAGTCATTAAGTGTGAGAACTGGTAATAAGTTGCCCTTTTTTCAGATACAGATACATATACAGATACAGATAATCAGAGTTGGAAGGGACCTTGTAGGTCATCTAGTCCAACCCCCCGCCCAAGCGGGAGACCCTACACCATTTCTGACAAATGGCAGTCCAATCTCTTCTTGAAAATCTCAACTGATGGCGCTCCCACAACTTCCGAGGGCAAGCTGTTTAATTGGTTGATTTTCAGTGATGCTGTAACTCTGAATGGTTATTAAATGAATGGATGTGACTTGAAGACTACAGAAGGTCTCTTTCTTTCTTCATTATTAAATATTAAATATGAAACCATTTAAACAAGATAGCAGTTAATGAATTTCAAGTTACAACTAACCGTTTTGCCTGCTTTGCTTCCAATGCTGGTCAAAGTCACTGTAAACTTCCTTATCCAGCTTTAAAAAAATTAAAAAGGACATTAGTATCATTTATTTTTAACAAAGCTACTTTTATTTAGCTTTTCTTTCAGGTCTTGGCATCATGATATAACCGATTTGCTGAAAAATGTTCTGTTGTTTACACCGTAAGACAGAAATAATTCTTTTATTTCTAATAATAATTACATGAAGGAAAGAATGCTCTGTTTCTCGGTGAATTAGTTTAACTACAGGTAGTCCTCGACTTACGACCACAATTCAGTCCGAAATTTCTGTTGCTAAGCGAGACAGTTATGAAGTGATTTTTGCACCATTTTACCACCTTTCTTGCCACAGTTGTTAAGTGAATCTCTGCAGTTGTTAAGTTAGGAACCCCGTTGTTAAGTGAATCTGGCTTCCCCATTGACTTTGCTTGTTAGAAGGTCACAAGAGGGGATTCACATGACCCCTGGGACTCTGCGACCGTTATAAATATGAATCAGTTGCCAAGCGGCTGAATTTTGATCACATGATCATGAGGATGCTACAACGGTTGTAAGTGTGAAAAATGGTCCTGAGTCACTTTTTTTCAGTGACATAACTTGGAACGGTCACTAAACAAATGTTTGTAAGTTAGCACTATCTGTACGCCCATTGCAAGAATAGATTTTTCTGATGTCTTCATTAATGTAATTACACAACCATTCCATTACGGGAACCCAATTTTCTATCCTACTTGGTTTAGGATTAAAATCTTATGAAGAAAACCCTCCCTTACTGGCACCTCTTACAATACTAGACAACACAGTATCAACAGTAGAGGCCTTCAAATTTCTAGGTTCTATCGTATCTCAAGACCTAAAATGGACACCTAACATCAAAAACATAATCAAAAAAGCACAGCAAAGAATAACTGTCTGGTTTGGTTCTGCAACCCAACAGGACAGACATAGACTCCAGAGAGTAATTAGGACTTCAGAAAAAAAACAATTACTACCAACCTGCCTTCAATCAAGGACTTGCATACTGCACAAGTCAAAAAGAGGGCTGTAAAAATATCTACAGACCCCTCACATCCCGAACATAAACTGTTTCAACTCCTTCCCTCAAAATGACACTATGCACTGCACACCAGAACAACTAGACACAAGGACAATTTCCCCCCGAACGCCATCACTCTGCTAAACAAATAATTCCCCCAACATTGTCCAACTGTTTACAAAGTCTGCACTACTATTACTATTAATGTTCTCATCACTCCTTATCACCCATCCCCTCCCACTTGTGGCTGTATGACTGTAACTTTGTCGCTTGTATTCTTACGATCTATATTGACTGTTTTCCTATGATTTGTTTGCCTATTTGTATCCTATGACTATTATTAAGTGTTGAACCTGATGATTCTTGACTCTTGACGAATGTATCTTTTCTTTTATGTACACTGAGAGCTTTTGCACCATGACAAATTCCTTGTGTGTCCAAATCACACTTGGCCAATAAAGAATTCTATTCTATTCTATTCTAAAATGGGTGCCCCATCTGGTTAGAAAGAAAAAACAGCAAATGTGTCTTTTATGCTTAGTTTACAAATGATCTTTTAGCCTGCAAAGGGCAGATTGTTTGGCGTCTGCTGTGTAGCTGCTGACTGCTCATATGTTTGCACGCAAATCAGCTCCAGAGGTTATTTGTTTTATATAACTCAGCCTTGTTCTAGTGGCAAGCTAACAAAATGTAAAACGAAATCAGAATGTAAAAGAGGTATTGAAAGAGTACAGATAAGAGCAACGAAGACAATAAGGGTTTCTTTTACAATTTTCTTGTAAATAGGAATAATTATTTTAGAAATAATTACAAGCAGCAGGGAAAATCGCTTCTCATCCAAAGAAGCTTCTTCAGCTCTGGACTGGATGGAAGGGTTTATATTCCTTGCAGGCAGGTGGTGATTTGCATCCTTTTAGAGAGTTGTTGAGGCCACTTGGAGGTTTTATCTGTGTCCTCAGGGTCACCTGAGGAGTGCAAATAGGTGTGGTCTGAGAACACAGACAAATCTCCAAGTGGCCTCAACGATTATCTTAAAGGATGCAAATGACCAGCTGTCTGCAAGGAATATCAATCTTTCCATCCCCCACCATCCAGTCAGAGCTGTAGAAGCTTATTGGATGAGAAGTGAAATGTCTTCAAAAGAAAAACCAGAAAGTCCAGTTGCCTCTTGATAAAGAAGTTTTGGGACACAACTATGACCTGGATGACTGAGAATCTCCATAGACATTTCTCTGAAGAACTTGTATCAAATTTTACCGTTTCATGCTCGAATATCTTCAAATAATCCATATCGGAATCTGAATGGCCTTTCTTCTTGCTGGAATATAAGCCAGATTTATTACGCTAGTTAAAATGATCAATGTTAGGGTACAGTATAGTTTAGGAAATGTAAGTAAATGTGGTAAGGATAATTCAATCATTGTTCTTAGCAAGCATTCACTAGATATCTGACATCTTTTAGGACTAGGAAAATCTAATGATAGGAACCTATTCTAATATGTTCGAAGAATACAGCAGCCATGCCCAACCCCTGGGCCACGAACCGAACTGCAGGTGAGCAAGTGAAGCTTCATCTGCATATCTGTGGGATCTATGTTGTGCGTTAAACCATCCTTCCCCACCGCCAGTCCATGGAAAAGCTGTCTTCAATGAAAACCTGGTGCCAAAAAGTTTGGGGACTGCCACTTTACAGTGTAAAATATAGCACAAAAACATAACAGTAAAGCTGAGATAAATGCTTAGGCCCTGATCTAATACACAACAACGTATTTGCTTGCAGTAGCCAAATCTATTTTCATTTCTTATATTTAAAGCATTGCTATTTTCATCCTGGATGAAAATGTTGTTGTAGCAGAAGACCCAGTGTTGTCCTTAATACAACATACTAATGGATATCATTCAGGTCCCCTAACTTTTTTGTGGTTCAGGGCACATTATCCAGGCCAATTGCACAACGACTGCAAAGTTGCCTTAGAAAACTAAATCAGCACTGAAGAACAATTTTCTTGCATAACAGGTGCCGGTAATTGCTATCATAGATACGTCTCTCCTCAGCTTCTTTCTTTCTTTCTTTCTTTCTTTCTTTCTTTCTTTCTTTCTTTCTTTCTTTCTTTCTTTCTTTCTTTCTTTCTTTCTTCCTTCCTTCCTTCCTTCCTTCCTTCCTTCCTTCCTTCCTTCCTTCCTTCCT